TTACGGTTTTCAGGAATTTCGATAAAGTTATAGCTATAGACAACTCGGTGCATGGGAAAGTGCGTGATGCCGGATCGATGCCGCTTTGATGTCGATATTTTTATTAGCGTTGGCAGACCAAAACTGTAGAATTTTCGAAAAACTTCGCAATTACGTTTGATTAAAAAAATATCATTTCGCCCTCGTAATATATTTTCCGTTTGCTAGTTTTTAATTTTCGATAACATCATTCAAGTTTAAGACTGAAAATTAAAATTACTAAAAAAGCCTCACAAAGGTAAAAAAAAAATGCCAAGTACATATAAAAAATATCCCGATTTATATGCAACAAAAAGTTGAAAAAAATATTTATTAATTAAAATTCATACATGGAACAAAAAAATATTAAAATTTCTTATAAAAAAACTTTTCTCCTAAAAAATAATAAACATAAAAAAAAAAAAAAAAAATTGAACCGATAACTAACAATAAATTACTGTCTCAAACGATTCTATAATTCAATCAGTGGCTCAAGTAACACCGATGGCATTTCTCTTTACTTTGCATTGGAAATTTCATATTTTTAAACGTGTTCGTTCATTTCGGCGAAGTTCGCGAAGTACATTCGTGCAATTTTTTTTGACGTCAATACCGTTACCGGCATCGCACGCGACACGACGGAAATTGGTTGCCAAAGTTCCGTCACTTATACGTTTCAATTTAGGAACGAATTGAATTGCGTTTAGATTCTGTACGTTAGGTGAATTCTCGACAATACAAATTCCATGTAAATTTATTACAATTATTATACGTCTTAAAATCGAGAGATTTTATCGCAAGAATAATGCCGGCACTGAATCGCATCGCATACATCACAGAAATACACGCGCGAAAACTTTTGTCATTTTATCAATGTAACCATTATCGCCAGCGAAGAAGGACCACTTCCGCACGCTAAAATGTGCAAACTGCTTTGACGAACGACCGCATAATGCAGCAGCTGTGGACTCGACTGCCAGAAACTCTAGTTTGTATGCAACCTCTATATATATATATAAAGCATTTTAAATTATACTAATACACTGACACAATGGATGACAATAAATAAAACATACTGCTGACTACTATTAAATTCTCTTGAATTCGAAATATTTCCTAAATTCTCATTGTTCATAAAACGTATTTGATAAAGTTAAATTTAATAAAAGATAAATATGACATAAAATTCCCTGAACATTTAATGTAATATAATTGATTGAAAATATAAATTAACAAATATGAGCAAAAGTGATTGAAGTTGGTATGTATCCTTTCTCCCCGCATTCGAAATTCAAATAACAATTTGCGGAGAGTCGTTAAACTCTGGCAACACAGTTTGGAGACCATCTGCATTACAAGGTGCAAATTCAGTTTACTTATCCGAAAGTTTAGGCTGTCTATATGTCCCTCTCTACTCTCTCCACAATTAAATCTAAGTCAGAAAATTTATACCGCGTTCTGATAATTAATTGAATGTCGCTGAAAAAGACGTTGCAATTAAATACATCGCAAATACAATACGCCAAAATAATAAAAATCTTTAAGGCATACAAGCATCTTAAGAAAAGACTTATACAAAATGTAATTCAAGAAGCATGATGACAGATATGATACGATATCGGAAGCTAATGAAGCTAACTTGCTCGAGCTCGAAACCCATTGAGATAAGATTACATATACTGCATCGAAGTTCCAAATAATTTAATAATGTTTCAGAGAATGTAATAATATCCTCATCATAATATTATTATAGTATATATCATTTGATTATTATAGAGAGGTCAAATCTCTTTAATGTGCGAATACATGCGACACATTTGCGGTAGCCAGTGAAAAGAATTTTACATGTAATATTCTTCTGAAAAAGAACCATCGAGGACATTTCTCTATTTCTAATCCATCACGTAGCATCCTTGCATCTTCTTTCTCGACGCTATATACATACCTTATAAAATTATAGAGTAAAAGCGAAATTATGAATGGCGTAAACGTTCGGTTTCAAGTCGATCCGGTTGTTTATCGGGCCTATAACGTACACACGGACCGCGCGTTTACGCCAGGTATATCGCGTATCGTGTGCTCACTATGTTTGCCAATTTCAATGCAAATATAGAAGATCTTCTCGGTCTCGGCAAACGTATCACCTAGCTTTAACCTATTGGTCTTGCCACGCGGTGTGTTTGCGCTCCCAAGCGGCTGCCACCAAGCCGCTAGCCAAGCTTGATACCGCCATTGGAACTGCGATGCTGAAGTTGCGATGCATTCGCGATGCAATTCAGTCCGCGCGAATGTAGCCTCCGCGAGCGTAAATCTTTTTTTCAGGCGGTGCGCCTTTACGGCTGCGTGTGCGACGAAACGAGCTTTCGGCGCGTTTGCCGCGACATTTAGGGATGTTAACGGGATATTTACTCGATTCGGGCTACTCGAGTTTGCGTACTCGAATAGTATCCCGAGTAGTATTTCGAAGCTTCCGTTTATCTCTTTGTCAGAGATGAAAAATAATTCACATCCCATAAATCCCATCCGAATTTTGTAAATACTTGAAACTTGTTCTCTCTCACTTTTCAAACCCGTTTATCAGACGAATTAAATCATATTTTTAAAAAGTGTCGCGCATGTCCTTTTTATAAGTCGACTGTAAAAGTTACAAACGTTCATGAAGTCCTTTTGTATGCTTACATGTTATACAGTTTCGCATAAATAAAAAAAGATTGAAATTAATGCGCTTTATAACGGAAATATTTGATAATAAAAGTAAAAACGTAGGAGGAAAAGTTTATAAAGAACTAAGAGAAACTCTTTTCAACGGTTTTGCGGGGCAAATGCGGAGAGCAGAAATTTCATGATCGTCCTACGGAGGATCTACTTACTAACTAATGACATATAAAATACTCGGTACGTGGTTAGAGACGCACTCGCGCGCGTCTCAAAAGGAGGAGTTAAAAGCACAACCCCGAAAAAGACCGCGTTGCAAATGATCGTTGGTTGCACTCTCCGTCGAGAGAGCATCAAACGCTGCGTCTTTCGCTCATCGTATTCGATTAGCTCTCACCGTAACGAAGCATCCGAGGACGATGACAGCGAGTGAGAAAGAGAGAGAGAGAGAGAGAGAGAGGGGGGGGAGAGCCATCTTAATTCAACGAAATTTTCCCGGCTTTATCACTGGCCTGACTGCAAATTACGCTCGTTCGCGAGCAACTCTCGTTAAAACCAACCTTCCTCCCCGTTCCCGAGCTGAATTTGCTGACCGTCCTCGCGTCGCCAGGTGATGTTAGGCGCCGGAGAGCCGGTCGCGGCGCAACGCAGGGTCACGTTCCGCCCCTCCATCACCACCATGTCCGTGCTGGTATCATAGTCCAGGATGTCGGGTGGCACTGTCGGCAGAAAAGTGCAAACGTTAGAATACTGCATTAATAAACATAAACTGTGTGTGAAAATGTAAAGAGTATTTTGAGATAAATCGAAAAGAAATATCCCGAATATATGTCGCGCTTTTTATATTGAACTATTTTGGGATTGTTTAAATTTTTATACAATAGTATAAAATTATCTCTCCATCAGAATGGTAATTGTGGTTATATAATTTCCTAAAATTGTTTTTTTGCGAAAAGCTATTCATTTCGAAAATAGTATCAGCAATCCGACATAACGTTAGGTAAAAAAGTACATTAAATCAGGGAAAACCGTGGAATTGGATCATCGCTATATTTGTCTTTAATCCTCCTAATGGAGACGTACCTTTCAACGTATAAGGATCATGCGATATTTAATAAGAACGCTTACATCCGGTATCTGGCTACCAGAAATTAGACGGGTATCGTTAAGGAAGTGGGAAGTAATAAATCCAATCTTCCTTTACCGATGCAACTCCTGAGTACAAACTCTCTTGCCGTAACATTTAATACGCAACAATAGCCCTCATAAGTTACCTCTCGCAAGCAGTAAGGGTGGACAAGTATATCTGCTCGTTCATAAATCAGCCGGCGTGGATTAGTTCCCTGCATGCGCCGAGAGGGTAGAAACAGCGAATGGCACGTGCATACGCGACGCATGCAGGCTGCACGTAATAAAGTAGAGAATGATAACGACGCGGGCACGACGCATCCGCATCATCTCCGGCGGAAGCGAACTCGCGCAACGCGCACCCTACCTACTGAATGTCTGCATGGTCGGATCTTCATACACGGGCATTAAAGAGGGGTGTATCCGAAGGACATTTCGGGTCTCGTACGACTTTCTGAGATTCGAGGAATAACAATGCCGAGTTGCACGAGTTTAGGATAGCCTGGATACGACTCGAGAATACTTGGATACGGCTATTCGCTATTCTGCTTCTGTTGCTCCATATATATACATACACACACATACACACACACACACACACACACACACACATACATTTTGCTCTATATCTATTATCAAAAATTTTAGAATGTTCGCGAGATTGCTTGGCGCAGTTTTTCAAATTCAATTAAATGCACGTGCATAAATACAACTGCGATTATTGTAGCCCTCCGCGTTACTTCGTCCTTCGGTTTTCGTATGAAACAACGACTTTACGATCGTGATTCGGAAAGAATGTTAGCGCGCGATACGCGCGTGCGACTCCCATCGCGCTCGTTACGGATATCATAATTCGAGCGTGGCCTGGTTATCCCGCGGCCAAGCGTTTCCATTTGGCTACACCCGTTAAAGTCGACCCGAGCTCTCCTCCTTTATTTTCTCTTTCTCTGTCTATCTCCCTCACTCTCTCATGCTTAGTTTTCCTTTCTCTCTCACCTTCTCCCAGGGCATTGAACAAACGCGTCCCTCGCGAGTAATGTCTTACTAGATTCGCCTACACGAGAATCGGGGCCACAAGGCTGCATCGGTTACCGAAGGGAGGAGCAGGACGAGGTTGACGGGGTCGATTTTATTCCGCCCTACGGCCGGAACTCGATTTGCGGTTGAGTGCCCGTATGGGTGATGCTGAATTGGCGGGTCAAAGCTACCTCTAGAGTCTCCACCCGCCATCGGAAGGACCCGCTCCTCTTCCGCTGGTCCTATCGTCTGCACAGTCGAACATTTGTTCGTTCGTTCATTTGACTTTACGCATTTATTTGGAGGGATCATATGCGAATTTTAATACCGATGCAACTCGTGGCAACCGACGTACCAGGTGTCCCGCGCACAAGGTGCATTATTTTATCAATATTATAGATGAGAACAATAATATATATTATATCAATACACACATACATATACATACTCATATCATATACATATTATTAAAATAATAAAAAACTGAATGTTAAAAATATACTCCTGGTATAATGTATTCTAATTAGTATACATTAAGAGATAAATGAATATTACATAATAATCATAATAATAGTACATTATTATTAATGAAAATTACATTGCATTATATGCAATCATAAAGATTTGACACAAGATGGCATTCACGAAAAATTATAAAATATTATTTAAATCTTTCTTTCAATATAAAAAATTAATTAATCCATTTTAAGTTTCTCTAACTGAGACTTATATACAATCCAGCGATTTATATCATCCGATTTCTCAAGTCGATGTATTCAGTGAAAACTTTACAACAAATTGGGCGCTACCGCGGTTGCAATCCGCTTTTACTCCTCCATTCCATCTACTGCTCTACTGTTTTGTAACCCCCACAGACGCTAAACTACAAAACAAAACTCGGCACAATCGCTCATGCGGCTGCTACCGTTTACCACCACATCAATCTGAACCCAAATCTTACTTCCTGCACTTAACTGTATAAAACATTATTTCAATACCTACGCGAATTCAGCTACTTCTCGTCTTCGCGTTTACGTTACGGCAGCTCTTCTACGGAAAAACATGTACAAACGGTTAATGAATTTTGAAAAGTTTTTTGATAACATCGCGAGAGAGATTTGTATAAAAGTTATATGATTACACGTAGCAATGGATAGATACTTTTATAAAATATAGCGATACGTTCGCGCCGATCAAGATTACTGATTATTAAATACAGTGATGAGGCCGGCACAGTTTCTCTGTTATTTCATTTATTCATTTTACGACATGTCTACCGTCTATCTCATGCATTACACACGTAACACAGACAGACACGGCGATAAGCCGTCCCGCTCGGCATCCGTCATTCTCGCATCAATCCAGGTTTGGTGCGTCGCTTCTATTACTGTGACATCTCGTCGACTCCTGGCTTATATGCATATGCCGGGATATAAAACAATTTTAATATGAAATACGAAACTTAACGTTCTTTCGTTTTGTTCCAAGCGGACAATTATTTGACGTGGATTACGAATGATAATACTGTTTTTGACAATACGCAGTTCTCTCTCACGATTCAAGCAGAACGTTATAGAATTATTATAATCTGCTGATGAAAGGCGTGGATAATGTGCCGCTGACATCTGCGCGACTCTGCATATAGCGTTATCTTGTGTAACAATAACCATATGCAAATAGGTCTTCATTTATTATAGTGTTGCTGAACACCATTCGGAATTGATATACGTCTGCGATATGTTCCTACTACACCGCACAGTTTATTCACATTGTTCCGCATGGTCTGTGTCTGGTTATGATACCGTTCTACGGGTTGCGGGGAATTCTATATATTAAAGCAAACCCCGCTATATCGCGTATCAACCTCAATCCGCCTCGCCCATTCCGTTTACCGGTAACAACCTTCTCTCGCCGGTTCGGAGTCCTAGAAACTCACCACTCCTCAACGTGACTATGCACTTCGTTTCATCTAACGTTGTTTCTACAACTTTGAGGTTACTAGGCGGAATGATCCCGGTCAATTTTAGATAACAGCGGCTTTTCTTAAATCCTTTCTACATTTGCTAATGTTTTACATTATCGCAACATACACTCGATATTTTGTACAGTTATTATCTAAATTCTGTTCTAAATAAAAATCATCTCGTAAAATGTATGTCTCGCTAAAGAGATTTCAGAATTTTTCCAATGAAATATTTCTGTGTAATGTGTTCCATTTTAGCTATCGTTTTTCGTTTATCTGACATTATAAGCAGAGAATGCTAGCGAAATCTTTCTCTCTCTCTCTTTCTCTCTTCTCTCTCGCTAAATGACAGCAATCAGACGTTCCGTCGCGTTCTATGCTTTTTGTGGCACAAACGTCCTTTCTTTTCTCGAGCAACTCTGGCGCAAAAATCCTCGAGCAAGGTAGACTTGTATCAGGTATCAATCCAACTCTATCTCGTCTATCCTACCCCGTAACAACCTCCGCCATTCCAGATTCTCTTGGACTCACCCCCCTGACCAATGCGCTCGTTTCGTGGAACGTCGTTTCTACCGGTGCAACTGACGTTGAGTAGCGCGGGTTCGGGTTTAAAAAGTGCGGTGCATCGGACGAGCACCGCAAGCCGAGCGTGGCTTAATTTCGATGCGTAAATCGAAACGGTCAGCGCGGGAAGGTAAAGGGGGATGAGGAGGGCGAGCGGGGATTGCTTCACGTCGAAACACGACAAGCCACGTAGCGAAGTTGGGAATTCGTTCCGGGCTCGAAAACGACGTTGTAACGAGTGCCGCCTGCAGGGGCTATCGGAGGTGGGTCTTGGTAAATCAGCTGGGAAATAGACTCACCAACGGGGGAGAAACGTTTGGCGGATTTATTTCTAAATCCGTCTGGTTAATCCAGAAGTACGCGAACGAACCAAGTTTCTAGCTCTTTGCGTCTCGTCATAAACGAAACGTCAAATGTTCTCGTCGTTAAATGAATTAACTTTAACTCGGTACTTATATATTACGGTGCAAAGAAAATCGATTCTCGAATTAATTTTTTTTTCTTCTTGTTTCTCTTTACGATATATAGGTGACTATAAAGTGAATATAAGCAGATATAAATTTGATTTTCATTTACACAACATTCCTTCCCAATGTTACTTTCTCGAAGAAAGAAAAAGCGCGATGTATCGATGATGCACACAAAAGGTATGGTATATTTTTATCGCGCGCGCGAATCGCCGTTTCCGTGAGATACACATAGATTCAGCGAGAGGAAGTTCTTAACGGAACTAAACTGCACGAGAGAGCTGAGCAAGAGCAGTATCGGCGATGCACTTTATCACAGATAAAATATGCAGCTTACAACTTTGCTGCCGCCGACGAATCGAAGCGCCCACAGGGAGATATGTAGCGCGATTGCAAGAAGAGATTGGTTCGCGGAATTCGCTAACAGTAACCCAATATTGGGCCTGGGCAAACAGCTGGTATTCTGCTGAATTCGAATAACGTATTTAAACAAAAACGGTATCATCTGACGAGTTATTGATTGCGAGTTAATCGTCGATGATATTCCTACTCCGACAAAGCTTTTAAAGAAATATATAAC